AAAATCGCATAACAGCCGAGCATACACCCAGCAGCGCTGCTGATGCCTGAACGGTATGTGGAATGAAGTGGGTGGGCATCGGGAGGCCACTATGGCACGGGGCAAGCACTATGGGCAGTCTATCTGAAGTGTACCTGGCGTATAAGACGACCCCCCACTTGGAGGCATATTTTTCAGGGCCAAAAAATCGTCTTATACGCCGGCAAATACGGTACTTGTGAACCCTCTGCAGGAGGCGGACACTTGTCTTGAGCTTATCGGCGTGCTGCAGGTGCTGCCCTGTGCCTGGCTTTAAGAAGCCTAGATGTAGCCCAGAAGAGAGGTGCAAAGCCATGAAGCTACTCAAAGTGTTTGCTCCTTCAGTACTCAAGCACAGCTTTAGCACATCAGGTTTGCTTCTGTTTTCTGTCCCAGAACTGCACTCATCATTTTTCTCCCTACTGACACATTTTTCTGTCCACTGTCCCTTTTGTCCCCTATGTCAGTTCTGATCTTTCCTTTGCTTTTATTTGTATTTTTGGTTCTTTCTTCCACAGCATTTCTCTGCCAACACCAAGAAATTAACCTTTTAAAGCAAGTCTCAAACTTTTTGAGATCAACAAACCAATCAATCTCATTGTAAGAATATTAGGTTCTCTGAGTAGTATTAGTTATTTTTGTTTAAGTTTATGGGTCATACTATTCAGAGCCAGAGGAAATTTTCTTCTGCTTTTAAAATTCTGAGTTATACTCTGCTTCATATGCTTGAAATCAATACACAATCTATTTTTCATGAATATTTTACATATATCAATACTAGGCCTCCTATGGTTTTGCTTTCAATGAACTTCCAGTAATGCATAATTCCCCATATACCTACCCAGCTTTTCACAGACACTACCATTGAGTGGGTTGATGCAGGTTGCAGCCTTCAGGCCCCGAGTACTGGGTTCTGATAAGATTCCACAGAATCCAGCATCACTGGGCTCAAACGGCATCCACTGTATCGAACTATTTGTGAATGGGGACATATCTTCCCAGCACCAGTAGGACACATTGATCTTCCGAAGGCCAACCCATGGGGTCAAGGTCAGCTTGGTCTGTAGACAAGAGAGACACAGTTATGAATATAAACAATGTCTTGACCAAAACAGGCTTCTAAATAAAAACCATGAAGTTACAAATATCCCAAAGATACAGGAAAACCTTCGTATCCATTGACTCAGCCATTGCAGGTAAGGACAGACCATCATTTTTAAGTTATATATCATGCTTGGCCATTTAATATGGCCACTTTACAAAGGACAAAAATATAGCTGAGAGAATATATGAAAAATTTCACAGAGACTAATGGCAAGACAATAATCAAGGTCCAAAATTTCCATATCCTACGACATGCTATGAAGAGATAGCCACCCCCAAACTTGGTTTATATATCTATCCATACATGAAATAATCTTGCCAATATTTCTGAAATATTGGTTATCTGTCTATCCTCAGAATCATTAACTAAGCCTGTTTGGGGCACTGAACAGCTCAGATGACTGGAGATTTCCACCTTCAGCTGGGGGAAGGGCTGGCATTGAATTTTATAGGGAATAGTGGGATAGTAAAACCCTGGGTGAGTCTCTGACTGCTGCTCTACTGAAATTTCCTTCCTGTTGCATTAACAAATTCTTTTAAAATAAAAGTACAAAGGTTAGCCCAGAAATGAAAGATAGTCCTAATTTTGCCAGTTATAAAACAAAATGTACTATGTATTTCAATTTTTGAGGAAAAAATATGCATTCCTATTGAAAGACCCAACAGAAATAGACATACCCCATAGTAGTTATTTTTAGTTGTAGTAAGTAATATTTATTCTATTTTTAATATTACTATTTTCTAAATTTCCTCTGAAATGTGTATTATTTTTTAAGGAAAGAAAACAAAGTCCTTCAATAACTTCTCTTTGCTTTCCTGATAAATCTCAAAGTAATTAGCATTGTAGACAAGGCCTCTCAGGATTTGGCCTTGATTCCTCATAAGACACACCTACAGCAACTCCCTTCCACCCAGCCTGCAGCTCACCCCTCAAACTCCGCATCTTGCATGTGTGGTAGCAAAGTACAGAGAGCCCTTCCCTAGTCACCTTCCCAATTCACTCTTCATCATCAGGGGTTACCTCTTTCTGGCTACGAGCCAGCCTCTGCCCTAAAGACTAGGTTGAGTATGCTTATTTGTTTTTCCATATAAGTCTGGGCTCTTAGTCTAGACTTACAGCTTAATTTACAGCTTAACACAAGACTGTGAATTCTTATTGTATAAAGATAGTCCCAGCTAATTTGACTACCCAGAACCTTCTAGAACTAGAAAACCTGAGGAAGAGAGAAGAGGGACCAGAAGATAGGATATCTGTGACCAGCTTGGATAGCCAAACCCTTCTAACCAGCTATTCGTGGAGACACATGGAATTGGGAGTCACTGGAAATGTGCAAAACTGTAAGCTATCAATTTTCTGAAGAGTGACCACAGATAAGATCAGCTGACAGCCAAAGACAGAACACTGTAGAGACCCGCATTTGGGGGTCAGGTAAAGAGAAACAAACAAAAGTAGTCCCTAATGGAGATTATAAATTTGAAAAACTTTTAAGATATAAAATATCAAATGTGGCCATAATGTCCCATGAGGTAACCATTTATGATGTATTACCAATGTTTCCACACCATACCAAACTTGCACTTAAAAAAAAAAAGACTAAATGTAGAAAAGTAAAAAATAGGCACCTCTACCCAATTGCAGAATGGGTAAAAACTGCCCTCTAGGCAGTATGCAGGGCCACATGTAGCCAGGACCCAGGCCATACTCCATATCCTCACCTGAAGCAGGCTGCACTCAAGGAAGTACTGCCTATTGCTTCTCCCTACTTGATGAGAAGAACTCCTCTCCCGCCAAATGCTCTGTACCAAAGCCAGTGCTGGTAAGAGCTTTGTCTTGTGTCTACTTAGTTGAGGATAGTCCCACAGCCTAAGATTTTAAACTCCAAAAGACCAAATGTGATTGTGGAATGTCAACTATAAGCCACCTCAGAGCACTGAGCAGATGGGAAGAGAACTTGGGGTTCTGTGTCTTAGAAACTTTTGATAAGAAGGTACTCTCTCCTTTTGGGCTGGCCAGGCCTAAGGAAGATGCAAACAAACATTTATTGGGTGATGAACATTAAATCATATTACACACTGTAATAATACCTAAAATCTGAGACTCAGGTGGCTTAATTCAACCTAGCTAAGTAGCAGTGACATTCCGCTCCCCCACAACAGCAACACCAGGGGATAAACCAATACAAAATCATCACTGTTGTCACAAAGATATGTGCATATGTACACACATTACTATTCAATACACATGTAATTATTCAAATATAATTTAGTAGATATGACTAATAAAGTGTTTAAAATGTTAAGGTAAAAAAGAAGGTATTAAAGGAAGAGCATCTGCCAGTGGCCGTTCCAGTGTGTTACACAGCACTCCTCCTGCCAAGCACATCACAGGTGAGAGCTGTGTTCATGCCCTCAGTAGACAATAGATGTAAGTCCTGAGGATTTTAACTTACCATGCTCTGCGATGATTGCATTATTCGCAGCTGCTTAAGGACAAAGTCTATCTTCTGCTGGTTTGTAAGAGAAGCCAAAAGGGCATTGTGGTTCCTACAGGACAATTTAGCGGTGTCATAAGTCTCCCTCGCAGTAGAAATTTTCAAACACATGTTTAAAACCAAATGCCAGCCACTGCCACAGATATTTTCTTTTGTAAAGGATAGAGAGAAAGAAAAAAACAAACAAAAAACAACAAGTTTTAGAAATCACACAGAACTACTACATTACTGTTCGAATTAATAAAAAACCAAATGATATTG